TTTGTTTGAAACAAAAGTGAAGAGCTTCTTCAAAGATCTGATCAGTAAGGACCTACTACATATGAGAAAATCGTAGTGCCCAAGGTCATGGCATAAACTGTAGAAAGATTTTCAAGATCTCTGAGCATTTGAGTAGCTTCCAGTCAACCATATAAACAGTACTTCTGCCTCTTGGGTATATGGCATCTAAATATTATATCTTGCTTATTTCCCTGAGTCTGTCAGTGTAGTTTGGCAAAAGTCACAGAATCATAGAATCACTTAAGTTGGAAAAGACCCTTAAGATCATCAAGTCCCCTCAAGGGAACAACTCTCACCTAAGAAATGGAAGTGTCCGCCTCTCCAACACAAGCAGAGGATCCCAGGGACAATTTTAGTTGTTAGGAAGTGCAGCCACATTACTGCCTGGAATGAGCCTCAGTGCCTTGTGGCAAGAGCCACTTAGGCCTGGCCCCACAGTAATAGATTTGATTTTTCAGCTAGGTGGAACCATCCTGTGCGGAGCCAAGCATGAAGTAAACAAGACACTGTGGACAGCCAGCTCTTTGGCACATGAAATCTCTCTTTTATTTCACAGCATGGATTTCCTTATTCTGAGGATTCTTAACTAAAATATTTTACTGGTGTGAAGCTTATCAGTCCATTTTAAAGGCAGAACGTGATGGCAGATTTGCTCTATCCAGATGAACGTAGTGTTTGTATTACATGGCCACACTTGCAGAAAAGCATGGATGAGTGAATCACAGCAGCTCTTGTTTAGTCAGGCATTTTGTCTGGAAATGAATTTAATCAAGATTTGAAAAGCTTGCCTGGAGTAGTCTCTGTGTAACATAAACAATGTATGGTCAGTTATCACCTCCCTTGTATAAATGCATACATTACACAGCAGCTGAAACATCTACTCTTTTTTTAACAACTGATCTTATCTAGACTTCCTGGGTGATTCTGATCTAAACTTCTATTACAGTTAGAATTTAAAAGTAAACTTGTTCACTTTTATTCTATTGAAGTATCATGGGGGGAAAACAAATGAACAAACAAACAAACAAAGTTTTAATAATTTCCATAAAATTCAGAAACACTGCTGTTTCGGAAGCTACTTCCCCAAACCCATTTCAGTAACTTTTCCCTTAATAGACAAGGATTCAGTGTGGTTTATACTTCAATTTAATTACATACTGCTATATCAGTTTCAGAACTGTAATTTACCTTGTGATTTCTTTTGCTGCTGCTGAACAGGAAGGATGAGTGGAATAAATTTTACTAAGTGGCATACTGGTTTTAATTTTACAGCTAGATGGGAAGAAAAATTTCAGCTATCAACCAGTCAACTCAAAGGCTTGAACTTAATTCCATTGAAAAAAATCCTCAAGTTCTTATTAAAAAGACGATATGAGACATACAAATGTTTTCTTCTTAGTACAATTTGATTGTCCTTCATTGTTTTGGTCTTGCAATCATATACAATGTAATCTACATGAAAACGGGTATCTTCATCCAAACTTCATGTTTCATTGATGCTATCTGCTAGTGGGGTTCTATTGTAACTTTTTATGATAAAAAATTTTGTTGCTTTAAGAATTTGGTATACTGTCAACACACTGCAATTGACAGACAACACTATTATTTATAGAAGTTGTTTAGCTTTGTAGACAAAGACAAAGCATGGCTACACATCATAATAAAAAGAATTCCATATTTTTTGTGTAAGTTTAGACTAAGAAAAAAAAATGAGACAGATAATACCATCCTTCTTTATCATCTGTCCCCTACATGAGCATATGCAGTTACAAACCTGCAATATCCTAATATCTCCGTTTCTCAAAATACTTTTATTCTTTCAAAATTGCCACTGGTAATGTTTCTATAGCAACTTCTCTAACACAGAGGACTATTTCTGACTTTAATACAACTCATGCATCTAATGAGTGGCTCACACCGAGTGCTATTCTTTCTACTCATCCCAGATTTTCCCCAGTTAGTGGGCAAATTTCCACCAGGCTCAATAGAAAGAAAAGCAGGCCTGATGGGGCAGACTTCTGAGGCTGCTTTAGTTGCTGAACAACATAAACAGAAAATTAATGGGATTTGCAAAAGTACCTGCAAACTCATAACAGAATTCTCATTGATTCAATAAAGTATTATATGAATTAAAATATACAATCCTGCAGTGTGTCTCATAAGCTTGTTAATATAAAGGACTTTTTAATGCCATAATTGTGACCACTTCTCAAGATTTATATTACATGTAACATAATAGTCTTTAAAGTCTTTCTGTTGTTAAAAATCATCCTGGTGATGATTACAAGTCAATCAGTCTTTTTACTTTGAAAATGACATTCCAAATTAGAAAAAAAACCAAAACAACAAAAAATCAAAACCCTCCAAACATTATTAGTCATTGATGAAAATGTTGCATCTGACTTATAATTTAAAAAGTGACTGGCTAATTCATATAATTGTTAATATCTGGTGGGATGAAATGCAGTGGAAGTGCAGAATACAATAAAATGAGTAACAGGCAGTCTGGAGGGTCCAGCTTTCTCTGCTTTGTACAAAAGTGAACTTTCCATAGGACAAAGAGTATTTCTGCTTCCCAGAAAAAAAAAAGAAAAAAAAAAGCCAGACACATTAGCAGCAGCTTACATAATCTTAATAGTGTATTCCATACGGTTCAGTCAGGAATTTATTTCATAGCTTAATTAGCATAGGCCACTTAAAGGGCACGAGTTTATTGTATTTACAGATGTTTTTCTCTTGTTGCAGTCTAAATTAACCTTGTTAGTTGATCTTCATCCAAATTACAGTTAATTTGCCAAGATATCTCATATGGTCTTGGTATTTAATAAAGTATTATCTTAATCCTCACACAAATTTATGTGAAAATGTTTTCCTTTAATTTTCATTAATTAAAGCAGATTTATTCCACAACATATGCTGGATTTAATTCCTTAAATATCAGAAAAAACCTAGAAACAAAAAAGGGTGGTAAATTTAGCTAGTTGCAGCCAGAAGTAGCTTAGATGCTTTCTCATGTGGACTCATTTTGCACAATATTAAAGAGTAACATGACTTGGGTGTCAACATCTGCCCAAAGTTCTGTATATACTAAGTTTGTATATATTAACATTAAACATTTCAGTAACTAAATTGCTGTTCCTAAAACTTCTGGAGATGAAGTAAGGGGCAGCAATGGAGATGCCACTAGTAGAAAACTGATAATAAAAATGTTAGTAAACATATCTCACTGTAGTCACAATATATTTCTTGATCATCTGGATCAACATAGAAGCATTTGGGACTTAGTTGGAACCTTGCAAGTAAAAAAGCTTTTTGAGGTTAAAGTTAATGGTGTGTTAGTTGGCAAGAGTTTCTTAATCAATATTACATTTAGCAAAACATTGTTCACTTATGATTGCTGAATGGGAAATTGAGAAAATGCAAACATGAAAACTGAAAAGGCTGTTTAAATCCCCAGGGCTCAGAATATAATATTGAATTCAATGTTCATACTTTTATCTTTGGGAGAGGAATCAGACATGGTGTTTAAAAATGAATCATGTTGCACAACAAAGTCTTGAAAAGGCTGAACTTGGAAAGATCAGTCTTCCAGCTGGAGTGCAATCACCCTCCAGGTACCCTTGTACAGTTTAGAAGTGACTTTAATGGCTTTATTCCACATATATTGTAATTTTAAACGGGAAGAAAAATCACTGTGACATAAATGAGGAAATTGATCAAGAACGATTGAATGGGAAAGGTGTTTAATAGAGAAGTATTTTAAACAAAGATGGAGATGTGAAAAGTTGAATGAGAACAAGAAAAGGCTTCCTGCTCCAGTAGTGCAAGGATATGTTAGCAGGAGATGCTGGAAAGATTAAATAAATCAGATCGCCAATTCTTGAATGAAATGCATGTGGTTTTCAGTGTTTTCCCATATGGAGAGGTCAATAATGTAGGTGAGCAGGTTGCTTCTGTAACAAAGCATGATTCAAGATTTAGCGTCCAGAATGATTTAAGGAAAAAGGACATCAGGGAGATGCATGCAAAGATGCTGAAAAACAGTTTTAAATTGAACTGTCTTTAGTTAGACATGCAGTTTCCTCCAACCTGCAGAGGCTGTTCTTAGTCTCCACAAAATCCTGTACAAATCCCTTTCCTCCTTTGCTTACGCTTCACTAAAGAGTGCAACGACTGGAACGAGTTCACTGAGACGCCTTGCTAAGGCTGCCCAAAGCGGCAACCAACCAGATAACCGAACTGCAGATTCAGAGCAGTCAAAACACTGTTTCTGATGTAAGAAAGGATTTGTGAAGTTCTTTAAAACGTGGCACTAAACTTGTAGACGTTGTACAGGCAGCTTCTCCAGCGTGTGCGCCCCTCGGACTGTGCAAGGGGGTTTCTGCAGCGGGGAGAATCCCGTACCCAAGATACTGGGAGTGAGCCTCGGACAGGACAGCGGGAAAGTGCCGTCCTCCTCCCTACTGTCCTCCAGCAATGCCCATACTTCTTGTAACAACCCTCCTGAAAAATAGTTTCAAAGCCAGCAAAGTCTGCTTCTTTAGGCTGCCAACTCAGCTTGGTACAAGACAAGTGGGAGGTCGCAGGTGGCCTGCTCGGTACCGGGGCTGGGAGCCCTTCCTCCGGCCGGGGGGACTCCTGACAGCGGTGATGGGAGGCTCCGCGGGGCCGGCAGTAGGGGGGGCTGGGCCGGGCTGCGCTGGGGGCGGAGGACGCGGGTGGGGTCTGGCTGTGACTGATGGGCCAGATGCGGTTGAATGTTTTAGAAAAGGGGGGGCCCGTGCCGCCGGCACGACTTTGGCCACGGGGTCTGGTTTGCGGCTGACGGACGCGCCCGTCGCTGCCGCCTTCCCGAGCGGAGCGCCCATCGCAGGCGAGCGGCGGCAGCCGGGCCCGGGCGGGGACACGCAGCCGGGGCGCGGAGCGCGGCGACAGCCGGCGGAGCGCGTTTGCCTCGCCGGGCCGGCGGGCGGGGAGGATCGGCTCGGCTCCGCTCGGCGAGGTGAGGGGGAGACGAGCGGGGCGACGCCGAGCAGGTCCGGCCGGAGGGGGCTGCTGGCCGCGCAGGTTTTCGCTGCCGGCTGAGCCGCCCGCAGCGCCAGCACCGCCCGGGGACAGGCAGCGCCCCGGCCCCGGGGCAGCGAGGAGCGGGGCGCGGTGTCCCCGCAGCTGACGCCCTGTCTATCCCCTCTCTCCGCGCAGGTCGGCGCTGACGGCGGCGGGGGCAATCTGCCGTGCCGCACAGCCATGCCCGCTCTCCTCTTCCTCCTGCTGCTCCTCAGCTGCCGCGCCGCCGCCGAGGAGGACGGCTCCCTGCTCCGGCCGGGCCCGGGCAGGCAGAGCGCCGCCGCCGCGCCTCCGACGGCCGCGACGCCCGCGCTGCGCGGCACCGAGCACAACGCGTCCCGCCCGGCCGCGCTGCCCGAGGGAGCGGGGGCGGCCGGAGGGAGGCCGCGCTCCGCCTTGCCCCCCATGTGCACGGGACAGACGGAGATCAAGGAGACTTTCAAGTACATCAACACCGTCGTGTCCTGCCTGGTCTTCGTCCTGGGCATCATCGGCAACTCCACGCTGCTGCGGATCATCTACAAGAACAAGTGCATGAGGAACGGCCCCAACATCCTCATCGCCAGCTTGGCCTTGGGCGACCTGCTCCACATCATCATCGACATCCCCATCAATGTCTACAAGGTGAGGAGGGGCCGGGGATGGATTCGGGAGCGGGCGGTCACCCCTCGGTGCTCCTTGCCGGCCCCCGCAGATGCCCGTCCCCGGCGCGGGGAGACGCGTCCCTTTCTGGCTGGGAAACACCCGTGGACTTCACGACAAAACCCTGCCGGAGGGTGGTATTCTGCTCAGATATGGTCGCAGATGGCACTCTTTCTGTGTCTCAGTCCCATCTCTCTGAGCGTTCCAGGCTGGGAATGGGGCAGAATGGAAGTGGCCAAGCTCTGAAAATAACCTGGAAACAGGTGCTGTCGCAGGGATAAAGGAAGTAAATGCAGTAGACAATTGTTCAGTGGGCTGGTCGAGGAATGGAGGGGAGGCACAGAAGACTCTCCCATGTGGGTACCACTTAGTCCCTTGTGCTCAGCTCCGGCATGCTTGGTCATGATAGTTTAAATGGGTCTCTACAGTCATTTTTGGCACTGGGGCTTTTCTAGGAGGAACCAAGATCGTTCAGTTAATTGGTTTTATACATCTCTTCGTTGGGAAGCACGATGCTTTCCTGAGCTGCGAACCCTTTCGCCCTTTGCCAGTGTTGCAGGATGGGCGGCTGAGAGGGAATGAGCCACAGCTGCTCCTCTTGCACCTTCAGCAGAGTCTGTGTTTTGATTTGGTAAGGCTTGCTATGGAGAGAGTACAACCCCTGTCTTCTCTACCCAGCTTGTGCAATCCATTTGTCCTAAGGAATTAACTGGGCAGTTGAATCCAGCCTCTAGTTATAACCTAGCACTCTTTGAAGGTATATTGGAAATAACAGAGCTCCTTCTGCTTTGAAAGTTTACAGTCTGGATCCCTGAGCGCCCATCAGTGACTTCATAGAGTGAACAGAAGGGTCTTCATCTATCACCTTCTCTTCACTTTGTATGCATGATTGTAAGCTAGGGATTGTTGCTTGTACTTTTAGAAAGCCGCATTGAAGGGAAAGATTTTGAATCCATAATAATTAGCCCAGAAGCTGGTGAGATGAGAGAATCTTCTCTCTTTATCCTTTTAAAGTATTTAAGCATTGCAAAGCAGGGAATGTCATCATTGTGTTAAATTCATTCCAGTTAATTTGGATTACATGATAGTTCTCAGATTTGAAGTTTCAATGATTTTTATACTATACACTCTCTTAATTCTTGTGAGAGAAGTGTGTTCTTTTGAATGAAGGTGGAATTTAGAAAACAAAATAACTGCTTTAAAAATGTGGTTTGTAAAAAAATTTATTGAGCAAAGAGATCACTTTTATCTGTTTACAGAAAAAAACAAAAAGATTAAATCAATAACAGCTTCTCAGTATGAGGCTTTACAAATCAGTGATAATTTCAAAATTAATGTTGATATGCAGTAATATACCTCAGTTTTTACCTTGAGTGAATGTCACCAAGTGTATCATTGTGAGTAGCTTGGAGGGAGCAGGAGGAATAAAGGGTCAGACCGCTAACCAATAAATATTACACCAGCTACAAGTCTGGGATTTTTATTGTGCTATTGATAATGCTAGGAGCTGTGCAATGGCTCTCAGGTGCTAAATCTCCCTCACTGCTACTCATACTGAAGAGCCCATAACCACTTTATATTATTCCTTATGATAATGAGTAAAATATTTGCTATTTTAAGACAGAATTTTTGAATAAGTGCAAGTTGTTGGTTTTTTTTTAAAGAAAAAACACCTATTAGATACCGTGTTTAGTTAATCAAAAATTTTGAGGGCAGTTTGAGTTGATAACTTTTTATCAGCTCTACATCCCATTTCATTCCAGAGCAACAGGGAGAATACATACTGTAATGCAATGAAAAACTGGCTTTGATCACTCAGCAGTATGAGAAGCAAAGGCTTCCTCAGTAAATCAAGTATACTTAGCAATTGTAACTTGCAGTTTGAAACAATTTAAGAGTGCATTAAACAGATCCAGATACAGAATTTGCTACCACATCGTCAGTAAGGCAGCTGCACAAAACAGTGAATTTCTCATGTTAATAAAATGCCAGCAGTTCTTTCCACAACATTTGCCCTAGAAAGTGTGAAGGTGTCTGTGAATACTTACCAGACAGACGCATAGGAGACAATTCAAAAACTGCACCAGAATAAACTTTTTATTGGGTATTAAAAGGGATAACTAAAAAAGATGTCCCCTGTGACTATTTCAGTGAATACATAAGTAGTTGAAAAAGTGCACAAATGAAAATTGACATCTCCTAAATCAAGGGTATCTAAAGGAAAACAGGTGTTACCTGGATAGGGAGGCAAATGCAGTCCAATGCATAGGATGCTAATTAGTCCATTGCACTTTCTTTATTTGCATATCATGCAATATGTTTAGTAGAAAATGGAGAATTATCAGAATCTGTCACACAGTCAGGAGGCTGGCTATGAAATAAGGGCTTGAAAGGCATTCAGTTCCAGCATGTAGAACCTGGCTGACCTTTTTGTCATTCTGGGTGCTGGTGAATGGTCTGGCAGTGCCTGGATCTCTGAGCTGCAGAATGGGACGCAGAGGAAAGTCTGAGACAGTCCTTCTGCAGTATGTAATGTTTTGGCAGTGTAGATACTTTGCAAAATTGGTACTAATTGGATATGCAGGTGATCCTATGCTGCTCCACTAAACAGACTAAGTCCATGTTAATTTGAGGTAGCAAACAGCAGTTAGGGAGCAGAAGGATAGGGTAGGTGGTCAATAGTTTTTATGTCCTTTTCTGCCCTTAAACTTTAGAAGACAAGACAGTGCACCTGACAATACGGGTCTGCTGTTCTACCCAGTTTATGCTGCCTTTCCCAAGTAAATAAAGTTGTTAAGTCCTGTGTCTAAAGCAAAACATCAATTTGGACTGGAAATTCCTAGCTTTGCCTCTCACAGGCTTAAAAAAACATAATTAAATCACACACTAACCTTCTTTCTCTTCTAATACACAAACAACATCTCTTCTTCTTATTTTGTGATATTTATTCCTGTATATTAAATTCAATTTATTGTCATATGCCAGTGGACTTTTAACAAGGGGAGCAATCTAGGCTCTGCACATTATTGTGGGACATTCTTAACTCTGACTACCAACAAATGTCTGAGGAAAAATATCTAGCTGACAATAATGTCATAGGCTTTTTCAGAGCACACTAGAAGAGAGGAGAAAAAAAATTCAAGAGAAAGAAAAAAATCTGGTCTTTTTCCATGCCAGTAATCAAGGGCCAGAGTCAGCTTTGTAGGCACTGATTTATTTTCATTAACTTAATTTAGGGATTATATAAAAATTATGGTTAACATAATATGGCATTATCAAGCACTGGAAATACAAGAAAGGCCAGATTAGGGACTCTATATACCACACAGACACAAATTGGCTCCTTTTTTAGTCCAGCTATTCTCTGAAAAAGATTTCCATGGAAATTTATTTGTGATTAACTTACTAACTCTTGTAATGCAAGTACCTGTAGGCCATGCATTATGATAAAGCCAACCTTTTTTTAACTTTCTAATCAGGGTGCTTGTCTCTAGTAGGGATTCTCACTATTCCTTAGAACTCTTGGGTACTGGTTCGTCTAATGTTCAAGATAGTGGCCATTTTATTGGAAGAAATGCATCATTTCCTTTCTTTCAAGATCTGAACCATTTACTTGAGGTCTTGCAAAGTTTATCTTTGAATTTCTTACACAAAATGTATTGATTTCTGACCATATTAAGCTAGCAGTCTGTTTTGCTTGAGAACCTTTTATGGTGAGCAAGTGCAGGCACTTAAGAAAGATCTGAACTGTCCCGTGGAAGAACCTGTCTGAACTCTGCAGGCAGTGGTGGGGAGGGGTAACTTTGTTCTGTATTTAGATGGAAACAGTCTATTCTGAAGTCAAGTATATGGAGTAGTAGAAATGTCTGAATGCTGTTATAAGTACACAATAAATGGTTTTCAAGGTGGATCTCCAAACTGAAGTTTGATGACGCTAGCATAGATTTGTAAATTGGAAGTAGTTTTTTTTCATTATGTATACATTCACATGTATAAAAATGCATGTGTCAAATTTCAAAGCAAGTTTTGGTTTGTTTTGGCTTTTTCATCTCCCCTGTGTTTACGCATCCCAATCTGACAGCAGCATGGCATTCTAAGTGGTTACTTTTAATGTAGCTCTTCCACTGGAGTTGTGAAATTGCAGAAATTCTTTACTTCAACAGCACATTATGAAGTTTCTGTTATTTTCAAGATGACCTTATAAAAATACTTTATCTTACAGGAGTTATAATAAAGATACAAGAAAAGAAAGTAATTGCATATTAAGATTTTACACTTTTATTGGATAGATCAGTAAAGCATTCCTAGCTATGCTTGAAAACCAGAAATATATTTTCTTGTCTAGAGGAGAGACCTTCACCCTGACATAATCATCGCTAAATGGTAATAAGTTTGTAATATTGTCTGAGTTATCCCTGACCATAACCTTAATTTCCTGGGCAAATTTTCTGTTTTGAAAAATGCTTGCCCCTGTAAAATATCTGCATGATCCCCCCCATGTCAAAAAGAAAAAATAAAATATCAGGTGAAAATCTACCAGTCATTTCAGAGATATATTGAAATGTCTGTGTGTCTGGTTTCCCTTGAACTTGCTGTTTATAGTGATGAAAATCAAATCCAATGTCCTGTGAATGAGACTAGCTGTAAACGCACGGCTTGGCAGAAGCACGAATTCCTGCTCCGCGTTTCCCATGTGCATTCACTGCTCAGGACTGGAGCACTGACAGGAATATTCGCACACTTTGCTGCTTCTTCCTGCCCTACTGCAGCCCCTGAGGAGCAGTGGGTTGGAGCCAGGTATCAGCCTCCTGTCTGGGGACCACAGCAGCTGGGCCTTAGGAGCAGCACATCGTGCTCGCAGCCTGGCTTGTTCCAGCAGCAGATTGAGAACATCTTTCAGTTCTTGCACAACTAAGAGGAAGCAGAGTGGGAATTGTGATTTGCAGGTGTGTCTGTGAGTCACGGCATCTCTTGGGGCTTCTTCCATAGCTCTGCAGCTTGCACGTCAGTTTAGGCTCAGATCTGTCTGGTCTGAGAAAGTGTTGGCTGGGCGTGCATCAGATGTATTGGTTCTTTTAAGTGTGATTTCACTTCATTCTGCGATGTTTTCCCTTTCCTTTTGATCTATTTCATCTGAAACACATTTCTGCTGCTCAGCAATTAAAACTTCGCCTGTGTAAAATAAATGACAATAAAACATTGGAAAGGTCAGTCGGAATACAGCCAGTGGTAGACTGCTCTTGGCATCTTACTTACAAAAACACAACATTATTTTTGTCTTTGCTGCCACTTGGCAGTAGCTCCCCTCATGGCTCCAAGTCATTTGTCATTTGTAAAATGACAATCATTTTACAGCTACCCTATTGTGACTCATAAGAGTATAATTTTACTCATACAAAATTGCAATAGGCTATATCTGTATTTCACTAAGAATTATCATTCTCCACAGGGAGAATGATAATGATGCTCCCAAATATTTTACATTGGATCTTCACTGTACTTCAAGGCTGTATTTGAAGGGGATAGCAATACAGAGAACGAACATCAAGGAAACATAGTTCAGCAATCAAAACATTCCTTTTTTTAATTTTTTTTTTTCTTTTACTTTCTTAATGTTTTCAAGCTTTTGGTGTAAACCATAGCATTAACCACTTGCAATACCATGATAGAGAGAGAAACTTGTGACTCATGCATTAAAATGCTCAAATTTCACAATACATCAGCTGCAAGACATAAAGCACATGTTTTTGCAATCCAGTGCAGACAGCTGCATGTCCATTCTGCCCTGATACAAGCTGGCTGAATGGAAGTGATGTTTTTATGTTATGATAAACCGAAGCTAATGCACCCTTTCTCTCAGTAGACTGCATTCAGTCATGTGCCACGCCTCTATAATCCCAAACTAGAGCTGGCTCAAATCCAGTCAGTTTGGAGCACAGGTGTGACTGTCTGCACCTGAGAGATAAGTATTACTTCAGCGAAATCTACAACATGTGGCTGAACCGTTGTGATTTTAAGGAAGAGAGACAGGGAGTATCTACACACCAGCTAGATGTAAATAAAAGTTTTTCTGAAAATTTCCTGGCAATAGAGATTTGACCCAAGTTTTGTATTTGTTACAGAGAAAAGAATATTTTACTTTTACTTTTTGAATAAGTTTTTTTTACTTTTTGAATAAGTTAAATATTATTTTTGAATAATATTTAAAAGACTATTTTATTTTACTAAAATGCTATTTTAGTGAGTTCTCTCCAGTGTAATATACACTCACGTACAATGTACAGCAGGTACCATAAATAAGTATACAATGTACTTGCTACCCACTCCTTAATTTCTGTGGCAAATAGATGTGAAAGGCTGGAGGTTCACTGCCTGATTGATATAAATTAGTCCAGGTGTCATTCAATTATGTAGGGTGTAAATTTAGAATACAGGTAATTATTGACATTACAGTTTTAATAGCAGATTGTTACTGTCACCCCCTTACAGATATTCAGAAGTCATCTCAGGGAGAGGCTTTACTGAAAATACTTTAATTACAGACTGTGTTGTTTCCCCATATCATGTAAGCAAAAGATACTGTATGGTTATTACAACCTCATGCCTACTTCCTCTGTTTTATTACTTTCCATAAAATTCTTGAGAAACATAAATCCTTAGAATTTATTTTTCTGTTTCATTTCTGCAGAAGCATTGTATTTATTGTCTTATTTAAGTAGATTCTTGAAGAAATAGAAAGCTGGGCCATGTTGCAGTTTGTCTACTGCTGTTATTTTAAAGATTCCATTACATCACAAAGCTAAAGCAGGTATTTGGAGGTATTCTAGTATCTGAAAATACTGGTGGACACTTTATAGAGATTCTCAAAAGCCAATGGTCATGAAATGTTCTTAACTTCCTTTGTGTTCAAATAAAATTATATTTAAATTATATCAGGACTCATCAAAAAACTCTCATGGACCATGTGTTTACATTTAGATGGACATACATGTATGTTTTGCATAAGGACATTGCTGAACCAAACCAATGTCAGCAGGCAACTCTGTGGCTACCTTCAGTTACAGAATCATAGAATAGTTAAGGTTGGCAAAGATCTCTTAAGATCCTTAAGTCCAACCGTCTACCTTGCCATCATCACTGTGTTCATCCCTAAACCGTGTCCCCAAAAGCCATGTGTACATCTTTTTTTTTTTTTTTACCTCTTCCCTGAGCAGCCTGTTCCAATGCCTGAAAGCCCTTTCAGTAAGAATTTTTCCTGATACCCAATCTAAACCTTCCCTGGTGCAGCTTGAGGCAATTTCCTCTTGTCCTGTTGTATCTTACTTGGACAAGAGGCCAACCCCCACTTTATTACAGCCTCCTTTCAGGCAGTTGTAAACAACAAGGTCTCTTCTTCTCCAGACTAAATAATCCTGGCTCCTTCAGCTGCTTCTCATACAACTTGTTCTCCTGACCCTTCACCAGCTTTGTTGCCCTTCTCTGAACAGACTCCAGCACCTCAACCTCAATGTCTTTCTTGTAGTGAGGGGCCCAGAACTGGACACAGCACTTGAGGTGTGGCCTCACCAGTTCCAAATACAGGGACAATCACTGCCCTGGTCCTTCTAATACAGGCTGGAATGCCATTGGCCTTCTTGGCCACCTGGGCACACTGATGGCTCATGTTCAGCCAGGTGTTACTAGCACTCTCAGTTCTTTCTGACAGATCTTTCCAGTCACTTCCCCACTTTTCCTGCCTGTAGCACTGCATGGGGCTGTTGTGACCCAATTCTTGTTGAACCCCATATGCTTGGCCTTGGCCCATCAATCCAACCTGTCCAGAACCCACCTTAGAGACTTTGTAGCCCTTCTGGTTCGCAGAAACATCCACACAGTAGGATGAGCTATTCTTCCATGCTTACTACCCTCTTAGATGGGTTGCTGGGAAAGACCCAAGCCAAGGGAAAGATTTTCCAGTCTCCTTTGGGTAGTCCTCATTCTTTTGTCTCCTTTTCCATTTTTTAGCCCTATATCTGGAATAGGTTCCAAAGACCTCATTTGAAGAAAGTTATGAAAAACAGAGATGGGCTTAGATAATCTAACTAATTACAGAAACTCCAAAAGTTTACTCTTCTGAATAACAATTGAGTCTATTTCTTGGCACAACCCTTGTTGTGGAGAATATTGTTTTAACGAAAACTGGAAGATTTGGCTGCTGTTCTGGTGTACTTGACCATCAAAGAAGCTCACAGCAGAGTTCAAAGGCTAAACGTTGCTAAACTGAGGCTACAGTCGTTTGTCTGTTCATAGAATCAGCTGTGACGAAGGTGTTTTCTGTGTCCAGTAAATCCTTTCCGCTAAATCAGATAAAATGTGCAGCTGGGAATGTGACAAGATTTCCATTAAAATGCGTGATTCAAAGTGTAAGTGAGCCAACCCGAAATGCAGTGTGCTGTTTTTCTCTATTTCTCAGTAATTAGAGGTATGCTGAATGTGCAGATAGTCCTTTTGGTATTATTATACAGAATGTTGGTAAACTGGTCAATAAAGACCATTAGTGAGGGATTCATCTGATGATTTTACCTGCTGTTTTTATCCGCCTATGCTCCTTGAGTGTCCAGCAGGTCCTTTAATTTTGTTATCAGATGGTCAGCTAAAAACAGTGGGGGATACATTTCTCTCCAGTGTTGCCTGACTTCTCAGCTGATGGAGCCTAGACACTAAGCTTCAAATAAACTCAACCCCAGATATGCACTACTTACTGGCTTTGTCCCTATTCTGATCAGCCTCAAGTAATTTTTTGTATTTCTGGTCAAGGGTGTGTTATTTGGAATAAGAAAAGCAATGAACACTCAAGGCAGATAAAGACAATTCTTAGATGAGGAAGACCTGCTCTGTCATTTTTTCCCATAAATGCTGGCATGATGAAGTTAGAAGCAAGAGGAGTGGAGTTTGCAGGGCTTAAGGAGCCAGGCTTAAGTGATATCCTTGTCCCACCAGGGAGTGACTACACTACACACACCTCAGGGGCTCCCTTGTGAAAAGGTTCTTCTCGACTAAGTTTTGCATAGAATCATAAAATGGTTTGACTTGAGCTTTAGAGGTTGTCTAGTTCCAAACTCCATGGTATGGCATGGGCAGGCATATCTTTCAGTGGACCAGGTTGCTCAATGCCCTGTCCAGCCTGGCCTGGAAGACTTCCAGAGGTGGGGCATTCACAATATCTCAATTTAAAGCCTTTGCCCCTTTGTTCTATGACTAAATGCTCTTGTAAAAAGTCCCACTCCAGCCCTCTTTCCAGTCCCCTTTGGGTACTGAAAAGTTGTTACAGGGTCTCCCTGGTGCCTTCTGTTCTCCAGACTGAACAAACCCCATTCAGCCAGTCTTTGTAGGACAAGACCTGTTGGAAAACAGTCAAGACAGAACTCCATGTTTCAGCATTGGGAATGATTTTTTAAAAAAAATAATTGTTGTTTTCTTTTCACAGCTGCTTGCAGAGGACTGGCCCTTTGGTGTCGAAATGTGCAAATTAGTGCCCTTCATTCAAAAGGCATCGGTGGGCATCACAGTGCTGAGTTTGTGTGCCCTCAGTATAGACAGGTGAGACATGTTTTTCAGTGAAGTCTCTAATTTGTTCTCTGTATGAACATTGACTCAAATTCACCTTTCTACTCAGCCAGTACAATGCAAATTAGATGCATTTAAGCCAGTTAAACTGGGTGAGTTTTCTCGTACTTTGAATTTGTAAAGGTGTGGTGTTGCTTCAGGTACCGAGCAGTTGCTTCTTGGAGTCGCATTAAAGGAATTGGAGTGCCAAAGTGGACTGCTGTGGAAATTGTCCTGATCTGGGTCATATCAGTGATACTGGCTGTTCCAGAAGCTATTGCATTTGACATGATTACGATGGAGTACAGAGGAAAGTATCTTAGAATCTGCTTGCTTCACCCCACGCAGAAAACATCCTTTATGATGGTAAGTCACTAACATTGATAAAATCCCTGGGAGAATTCCTTGGATCTTCACAGCGCTGTGTGGATTGTAATGTGCACAGGTGTATGTGACATGTAGGTGAATATAATGTTCAAATTAAATACATATCTCTGAAGCATACTGGTTCAAAGAAGAGCATTCAGAAATCTTTGGCTATTTGTGGGCTTTGAACATGCTGCTGTCTTGTCCTGCTTTCTCACCTGTAATGTACACCTTACAGAAATGCTTTTCAGGACAGACTGACCAATTAGTTACAGCACACCTAGCAAAATGCTCAGCATTTAATTCCTAACTGTGTTTTTGTTTTCCTCTTTTCTTTACAGTTCTACAAGCAAGCTAAAGACTGGTGGCTGTTCAGCTTTTACTTCTGTTTGCCACTGGCTATCACAGCATTTTTCTATACTCTCATGACTTGTGAGATGTTACGAAAGAAAAGTGGGATGCAGATTGCTTTAAATGACCACTTAAAACAGGTAAATTTTATCCCTGACCACTCTCTAACTGTAGACAGGCTAACTAATAACTTTATTGATTTTCCTGCCACATCATTCTGTTCTTGTATGATTTCAGGTTTAGAAGCAAAGAGAACTTTCCTAGCAGTGGTGCTACTGATCTCACATACATACGTATATATCAGAGCCCTCAGGAACCTAAGATTTTAACTGAAAATCACAAAATTGCTTCTTTCTTGTTTGGTTTTAATGTTTCAGGTTTTATAAGTTTTATTTCTTCTTTACTATAATCAGAGTTGGTTATTTTGTAATGCAAACTGAAGTCTTCATGCTTCTGGTCTAGAAGGTGGTGCTATAAAACTGTTAATTATGTTGAAGCAAGTTCTTGCTGAACCCTAGTGAGGTTAGCAGTATAAGTTAGCAGAATATAACATATTCCAGCATACAATCCAAGGTACTAGTGCCCCAGACACAAACATCAGACGTCACTAGAATTAAATTATGTTTGTTCTATAATGCGTATTTATGCTCCTTTCCTCTTACCTGCTTAGAGCTGTAATTGGAATCTCTTGGGGCGTTTAAAATAAGATGTGAGATCAAAGCACAAGGAAATGCAATTGAAAACAAGCTGGTATTTGAAAGTGATCAGGGAGACAAATATGTTCCTAATTTTAATTTAAATTATTGCTTAAATTAATGTTTTCATGACCTCGATTTTTCATATTATTATTCATATTTCTTGAAATAAGAGATACATTGAATCACTGTGAGACATCTAAAACAATTGAAAAGATCAAGCACATATTCCAAGAAAATAAGCTATTTGATGTTTTCCTAACTCCTATTTTAATAGGCTTTTTTATTCTGTTTATTAAACATTTGGATATTAGAAGACAGCAACAATCCAGAGAGAGAGAGAGGAGCTCTAACACTGTTCTGTCCAATTTTCCTTCTCAGAGACGTGAGGTGGCCAAAACTGTGTTCTGTCTGGTACTTGTTTTTGCCTTGTGTTGGCTCCCACTTCACTTAAGCAGAATCTTGAAACTCACTATTTATGATCAGAAGGACCCCAACAGATGTGAACTTTTAAGGTAAGAATGCAAAAATAAAATGTCTGTATATTGTGGGCATTCTCCATAAGCGTATTTGGATTTCCTATTGAACTGGCTTACTCTGTATGTCTAGAGTTGTCCCTGCTTCTTCATCCAGGACCCTCTGGTTTCACTCCAATAGCAGAGAAAGAAAACTGAGTGGATTTCCCTTTCTTTTCCCCATCTTCCTCCCAATCCTTTTTGGGATTATTCTTTTTTCATGTGGTGCTATGAGAATAGAAAGGGTTCCTTTTTTCCCTTTCAACAGAGCAGCTAGAATTCAGTATGTGCAAAAAGATCTTGTGAACATCTTCTTCCAAAAGTTAAGATGGTTGGATCTCCTGAAACTACTTTCACAAGAATCTTCTGATTCAGACTTTGTTGCAAATAACACTTAACCTGCATGAGTTAATCCTGTTGATTTAAGCCCCATTACTATTACCTTTAATAGCTAGTCTTGATTGGGTGAAACCAAGTCCAATTTCCATAGTTGTAAACCTCTACTAAGCCGTTACAGAGCAAATGAGAAGTCTCACTTTCATTTCCACACAGCTTTTTTCTTGTGATGGACTACATTGGTATTAACATGGCTTCACTGAACTCCTGCATCAATCCAATAGCTCTGTATTTGGTGAGCAAAAGATTCCAAAACTGCTTTAAGGTAAGTGGCTGCTGGGAACTGCTTCTCTGGTTCAAAGATGATGTCAGTAGTTCCTTAAATTCATTTCTTAACATGCACAAAGTGTTTTAAGTGGTCATTACATTTTACTTTAAATTTTAATTGGGTTATGGTAAATGTTCTCTCCCTCTCCTGCTGAAGCTCTGTCTGAGGGAGCTAAGGTTTGATGGGAACCAAAAGAGAAAGTAAAAGAGCAGAGTGTACAATAAACCCTCTGGGGACCATGCTAATCAGTGCTACATCACTTCTTGACTGAAGCTGGCACCCAGCTACTTCCAGAGCACTGACAAAGCAGACTCAGACTGTGCTGCAGAGATTCACATAGCCATATCCGCTGCATCATGACAGGGAGGGTGCTGACCCTGGCCTCCCTCATCCTGACTGAGCATTTCAATCAGTCATGTAAGGCAGAGGGTGCAAATCTCTACTTGTCCCTTTCCAGCACCAACATTTTGTGAGACAGACCTGTTCGTAGTTCTGGCTTGGTCTGAGTGAATAGAGCTGGGCACTAATTACCCACACAGGATTTCAGGCTCTGAACTGCATATGGTTTGCAGCCCATCAGTCCTTCAGCTTTCATGTCTGCTTGGAAAATATGAAGATTTGGGCTTTTTTTGTGAACCCTTACTATCTTTAGACGCTGTATCAGAGTCCTTACATTGCCTATGGCAAATTATTAGATTTTTCTTTTCTTGCCAAACATTTAACCACTGGCCACAACTACAGTTATTGCCTGGCTGTTTAAATTCCTTACTAGCAAGACGAAAACATCTTTCAGTCAGAAGCCAGGCAGCTCTACCTCTAGTATTGTTAATGTATTTGCCATATAATTGTGCCAGCACAGGTTGCAGATGTCTTAGTGTTGGTCTTGTCCTCCCTGTCTATGCTTCTGGCTCCCTGAAAGAGTCACTGGAGCTGAGAGAACATAAGAGATCTCCAGCATCCTGAGAATGGAAGTAAGTGGGTGTGAGGAAGATATTTCCAGCACCCAAAGGCCAGACAGGACCATGAGAAAAAGGTCTGCAATACATTTAGTAAATGTGTGAATTGTATGTAGCTTTTCACCCTTCTAACTTCTCTTTTTTCCACCTCAGAACAATGAGCTAAATAGCAGCATTGTGCTTAGAAAGCACATTTTTCTTCCCCAAGAAAGATTATAGGAGAAAGGACAACAAGGAGTCATAATTTAATTTTCAGAAGTATTTAGAATTGCAGGCTAGATCTGAAGGGGTATGTGTGTGGCTGTTACTGCATATAACTACTCAGTATAACTCTTCCTGTACTCCAGCAGTAAATTTGCTAATGGTGCCATTTGAGCAGCTCAGAGTTCAACCCCATTTCTGTGCTTTATGCTCCAGTCCCAGAACAGCAGCTTGCACATTTGCCATTTCCTACTCTACCCCTGAGAAAGGGCAGCTTCTCAGTGCATTTTGCCACATGTGCAAAAACAGAATGATGTAAAATGTTTATTTCTTTTATTTTAATAGTCATGCTTGTGTTGCTGGTGCCAATCCAAAGATCTGTTGTCCCTGGAGGAAAGGCAGTCCTGTTTAAAGTTCAAAGCTAATGATCACGGATATGATAATTTCCGCTCCAGTAACAAGTACAGCTCTTCATAAAACAAGCATAAAAGGTATAGTCTCTTACATTAATGCTGGTGCCTTTTTAAGTATAAGTGGCAATTACTTTTAACAAGATGGTAACATCCAGAAAAATCTAGTTTTGTATTTGCACAAAAAAAAGAACGTTAAAAAAAATTGCCCTAAAACTGTGTCACGTTGAAAATCACGGACATTTATGAAATCATCATTTATGGAACATGAAGAAAAGCATAGAAAGAACAAGTCATTGTTAGCACTTGAATACTTCTGAATCAGCACTTCCAAATGATCCCCACTTCCCGTACATTAAGTGATCGTTTGTATTCTCTGTAACAGTTGTAGGAACTGAAGTCACAGTAATTATTAAGCAGCATAATATCAAGTTAATTGGATCAAAGCCATTATTATATATAACTCAATGTATTATCTTTTATAAAGCAAATTAACCACCATCACTATTGTGAGTTTTTTTTTAAAATAAAACATGAAATACTGTGTAATAGAAGTCTAAATGTTAAAAAGTAGAATTTTTATCAGGTATATTATAAGTTAGCTACTGAAAATATTAAAGGATTCAGTAAATCCAAAAGTGCATTTTACTTTGATGATTGTTTTTACCTATTATTGTAAGAAGAAACCTCCCAAGGGCTCTATAAATTCCTTTCTGTAGCCACTGTGCGTCTTCAGTGCATTTGCCAGCACTTTGAGTATTTGAGTTTACTGATAGCAAAGGAGAGAAAAACACACCAAAAGCAAAAAATTAATACTAGTAGAAACATACAAACTACGGCTATTATTTTAGCTATTTTTAGTTGAAAACAAATGGCTTGTATCCTGTGTAAAAAGTGGGCATTCCAGAGCCTGATGGTTCTTTACTGGAGATACTTTTGTGACAATTTACAACAGTTTTTGCAATCCAAACACCACCTTGGGGCAAATTATTTTAGAAATACTGGGTGGAAAAAAATGTAACCAAGGTAAAAAGAGAGAATTTAAACTTCTGTCTTGATTTAGATTTAAATCATCCTAAAGAAATGATTCATGAACTGTACTTCTAGAGAGTAGTACTATGTAGCATACTCACCTTCATACTGTTTTAAAATATATTCTACTTCTGTAGTTCCGTATTTATGGGTATAAGATGTGTGATTAGTTTCTGCTTCTGTAAATAGTTTAGTGAAATGTAATTAATTGTAAAGTATTAAGATGTGGGCAGGACCCTGCAAGAACAGAAAAAGATAAAGGTGCCTGTAGTAAACACAATGTGTGTTGCCAGGAGCAATGCATGTTTTGTATATACATGACAGGTCCTTCTTTGACTTTTCATTTCCTATTAATTTGTTACAGATGTCCCCAAAGACTTATTAACATATTTCATGCCCTAAGGCATGAGTTTTTCAAGAAAAATTGTCATATAACATGCTTTTATAAAAGACGCATTTTCAATAGGCTTGGTATTTTATTATAATAAAATTATTTATCAAAACTCAGGAATTTTTTTCTTTTAAATTTCCAGATCTCATATGTAAGGATTTTTACCTTTTTTTCCAGTCTTGATTAACTTCAGATTTTTTACTAAAGTGCCTTAAATGTACTCAGGATGAAAACAGGTTCTATTAAAATGTTCAGCTGATGTTGTCTTAGGTGGGTTTCTGACTTTAGGTAGCTACAGCTACCTTGCAGACAACTAAAAATGGGGTGATGAGCCCCATTCCTGATGCTGCCCCCATCAGAAGCTGGAAAGTGAATGCTTGTATAATCAAGCTGAGGAGGACCCCTGCACATGCATTTGAGCATGGGCACATGAGTGTGTGTGAGTGTGTGGTGTGTGCCATAAGGTTGCTGTTACCATCTTGCTGCAGCACATCCACTCAGCTGCTGTAATGCTGAACTTTTATAAATAAAAATTTATTTTAGGTTTTCTTCGTTACATTTTTACCTTAATTTTCATGGTAACTTTCTCACGGTAAGCCATGAATATCACTTCACATCACCCTACCTGCATCTATTTCTGTGAAATGTGTTTCATCTGTTAAGGATGAATAATAAGTGAAATCATAGATTTGATACTGGTCAGTGTTATTTTCATCAAGTTCTATTGCTGCAATATTGTACATGTATATTATTTTTATTTAAAATATAGCTGTTGTATTGGCAACTGTGTAACATACTTTTCATTTTTTCCTAGACTAATTCTTTGTTAAGTCTTGCTAAGTCAGATATTTAGGTTTTGCAAATAAAGACCATATATACTGCCTCCTTCTTGGGTTCATATATAAGTACACTCTTTGTTATTTTTTCAGTATCATCGAAAGCACTGTTTTTATTGAACATTTCATTTCCTGTAATAAAGCATTTCAGAACTTCTGTTCTTACACAGTTCTAAGGTCAAATCTCTTAATACTCCACAAAGGTGTTTTCTGAAAACCTCAGAACAGGTTTGTTCCTCCATTCACTGAAATCAGTAAACATTTAACCATTCAACTCAGTTCAAGCAGAATTAGGGCCCAACACAGCTGTTTAAAACCTCATCTGATATTTGCTACTTTGAACAAAAAAAAGAGAAAAAGCTAAATACATTTTTTTTTAAGGAGTTGATTAGAAAACATAGGAAAAGAGGGTGAAATCAGCTTGTGGGGTAAGACATCTAGTCCAATGCTCTCTAATCCTCAGACAGAGTCACAGGCAGCAGAACAACTGCACAGGGACACAAGTGTTTTTATAGGAGTCTGACGTGCTTGTCCAGAGTAAGAGTCATCTGTCCCAGTGGTCTGAAGAGTTCACACAGCATGGCTCAAGGTAAAAAAAAAAACCAGCTTGTACGTACTACATCACAACTCTGGGTTTTGGCCTTCAGATAGTTAAGTTCTCCAGCTGCTCTGAATTCTGCCAAAACTGAACTGAAACACTGCTACTAAAGCTCAGAGAATCAAATGAAAAAGTTGATGGTTGTAGAGCATCTGCTGTGAGCTGTGATGTTTCAGTGTCTCAAACGGTCTTAAGACACAGCTGGCTTAGCAAGAGAATATTGTATGTACTGAAATAATGTTTAAAGGATTTTTAAAAATTGTTCTGTATAGCTATGTAAAATAATTCTATATTTCATTTTCTGTGATCACTTAAAATAGCAACTTCTGTGGATCAAGCAGTGTAAACATTCTAAATTACCAATAAAATATTTGTAATTTTGATTCATTACAAAAAGATGTCTGACCTTTTCTCTCCTAGGGGGTCCCATTTAATTGTTAAACAGTGACAGTGATGGAAAAAGAAGTAAGCAATCCTAATATAAATATCAAAGCTTTCGGATGGGATGGTTTTATATAGCTGTTTGAAAATTGGAGAGAGTTCAGACTTGCATATGCATTGCAAAATTGTCTGATGTTTATTGGAACAGTCATGCCTATCTTTGCTCTGCTTGTTTTTGCTCAGAATGTTAGTCGCAATCTGTTCTCTACACAACCTTATATAGTCACAAATTCTCTTGTGTTTGGGACATCACAAATAAAAGCAAGAAGCTTTTAGTTCATTAATTTAGAAGTTTATGCATTCAGTGCTGGAATATGCCACATAAAAACCATCATCCCTTTGTATGCTGACAGTGTAATTTTGTGTATTTTTTAATTTACCTTTCTTGAAGCAGTGGGAAACTGTATCAGATTAAATATGCTGTAACTGGTCAAATACATGGCTCTATTTGCTTGTGGTATCTGTACATCCCAAAATGTGTTTGATGCTACTGCTCTTTTGTTCCAAATAGTTAAATTTCCTTCTGTTTATTTGGTGACCTGTTGCATCCATGTAGATTTGACTTTTTTCATGGTCCCAGGACCTTTAGCACATACTTTCAAATCTCCTGTGCCTGGAGCAGAAGCACCTGTGGAGATGAGATCCCTTGTAAGTAAATGTTCTACTTAGTATCTCTCATGGCCTCTTCACTTCCTTTCCCTATATCTTGTGCTGTAGTCCAAGGTCTTCACCAGCCACTCATTATGAGGAAGCACTTTTTATTTTTATTTTACACTTTCTTTAAGATCCTACAGCCTTCTACAGATAGGCCATAACTGCAGCATGTTGTCCGTTTTCTAAACGTGCTAGAACTTTCCCAGCAATGCGCATGTACGTGTATCTTACATTCTTCAAACACTGACTTGCTCTGAGCACTCCTGAGCACGGCAGATTTGGCACTCTGGTGTTGGTGGAGCAGGGTGGTCCAACTGGTAACCTGTGGCTGGGTCTGGTCCACAGAGTGGTTCACATTTTATTGCACTGTCCTGCAGCCTGCTGCTCTGATCACCACATTGTTGTACTCTGCTCAAGAAGGCAGCAGAGTTCTCCATGTACATGCTGTGCTCTTGGGTTCAAGTCTCTAAGCCAAGTTGCTGAACACTTCAGAAGATCAAGGCAGACAGAAGGATTTAAAAGTGCTGTCATTAAATAAAACCATGACATCTCTTTGGTCTTGTCAGTCTTCCAACATACCGTCATTTAGCTATGCAGGCAGTGAAAAGGCACCACATGCCCCTCCCCTTTTCTTACTGTCAGTAAGAAAAATCTACTGTCATGAAAAGTAAAACCTTCATAAATTACTAATTACCTTAGTAATCAGTATCCTAAATCTTCCTGAAATTGCTGTGACAATCCAAGGATGTTCTGATTGTAGAAGGTAGTATCTGGAAGGAATTTTAAAGTACAATGTGGCAAGTAGCCAGAGGCATCAATATCTATATGATACCTATCCGTAGATATCTTCAGAGTTGCTGTAAAACTTTGCATCTTTTGTAGCCACCCTAGAGAAGTGCTTTGGAAAAAAGTGGGAGTCAAATCCCGAAACCCAGTAAAATCTGAAAGGATGCAGTGATAAATAATTAGGGTAACTAGACCTTCTTCAGGAGCCACGTCCTGCAGAAGTTGCTTTTGCTTGTTTTGTTCTTGGGTGAGCGGGATGAGGGGAAGCATTTGTTGCCCTTTTACCTCTTCATGATCTTCATTTCCCAGAGTTTGTGTAAGTCAATTATTCAGGATTACCCTGAAGAAACAGATCAATGGTGAAACCAAGGGAGTAAGACAATGGCTCTCATTTGAAGCTATCAGGAAAAAGAATAATGACAAATCCCCAGAAAACTCACATCTTCCCCAGATAAATGGGTTCAACACATGCAGCCTTTGCAGGAGCAGGAGAGAAACATGCCAAGTTAACAAAACCAAAACTGGTGGACTTCATAAGTTTTAGTTGGAGCTGCAAGTGAAATGGCAGATTTCAAGCAAACTGGAATTTTTTTTTTTTTAATTAAACTGGAACAAACATCATAATTGCTAACAGGTATTCACAGGACCATAGTGGGTCTTGCCAAAGATACAGGGAGCTTCTTCCTGGAATGCACCTACAGCAGGTAGCACATCCTACAAATTTGGCCCCACTGGTCTCAAGGAATTAGCATAGATACAGCATGAAAGGTGTGAAAAACAGATTGTGAAATGACCCATGGCATTAATGCTCTGTATTGAGCACCTCCTCATAGGTTACAAAGACACTTCCCGTCAAACTATCTACTAAAATTCTCTTGCTAAATTTGTTTGCCCAAATTTCATGTTAGAGAACAAATAGACAAAGAATATGGCAAGCTTCTTGATATATTCTTGATATTAACTCATTATTTAGTATCTGGAAGCATTTGATCCTTATAAGAGTGTTCATACAGAAGTTGAGATGTATCATTTACAAATATCTGCAGAAGGAAAACTATGTTACAATATTGTAATATAAGGTGAGGCCATTTAATATTTGTTTACATATGCACTCAGTTTATGCAAGAATTCAACAATTTATTTTTAGTTGACTGAAAAAGAATAAATTGATATTGTAATAATGTGCAAGTCAAATGCCTTTAAATTATTCTGTAAACATATCCATGCATATATGCATTTTTACTTCTGTGTATGTAGATATCTACACAAATATACATAAATTATGTAAGTCAGGATAATGGTCACAATATAAAACATACTGAAAAAACTAGAGCTGGGGCTAAAAATACAAGAAATATATAGCATGCGTGATTTGCTGAGATTTCTACTGTGCTTTTGCCTAAAAAGCTTACAGCTTTCAGCTAGAAGTAACCAAATTTTCCAGCTCATCAAGGTTTGACCATCCTTACTCCAGTCTTCCCAATGAGTTGTAAAACCTGCATCAAGGCACTCCTACAAAAGAGCAGGAATGTCAGCCATGGTGTCTTGGCCAAATTCCAAATTGAATAATTATACTCTGTTCCCTCTCTTCCTCTCTCTTCCTGCCAATTGCAGCATGGGTTAGCAGAGCATCCTGCCCCACTCTTCAGTTTCATACGCTGCATAAAGACATCTGCCCTGGCATGTGCTGGACATGACCACATTTCCGTGCTAGAAAGTGGGAGCCTCCCAGATCTGTTGACAATTTGTAGAGTATGAATGAAAAGCAAAATTTAATTGTAAAATCAGTATCTCAGGGTTTCTTTAAGCATATGTCAGTCAACTCAAGTTTAAGTGAATCTAAATTACCTGTTTTTTACTGACTTTGTTAATTTTTATAAACATGTCTTAAAAGTCTTCTAAAACTTTTTGTATCATTTATTTCTATTGTTAGAGAGATTTATAATGATCTGCAATTTTTAAAATAGTGCTCAAATATTTGAAAAGGCATTAAGAATGTCTACAAGGGTGAGTGTAGAAAGCCATGAGCTGCAGAGATAAGTGTTCTCCAAGCTCAGGCTGAAGTAGTTGCACTGCTTCCAGAGCAAACCAGACTAACTTCTATTCATCTCAGGAATTTCATAGACTGGTTTGGGTCAGGAAGAAACAGCACTAGGCAGGAACAGCATCTACTAGACCAGGTTGCTCACCACCCTCACCACAAAGGAATTTCTTCCTAATATTCAGTCTGAAACCTGTAGTTTCAGTTTAAAGCTGAATTCCCTGCTTCCATCACTATGTGCCCTTGTAAATTGTCCCTCTCCAGGGCCTCTCCAATATATTTGATTGCTTTTGTTTGAAACAATCAACAAAGAACTAGCAATATTTGCTTTAAGATATCTAATTTCTTAAATGCACTTTTGGAGGATTCGACAGATAAGAAGTTGAGAGAAATGGGACTCCATACCCTGGGGAAAAGAGGGCTTGGGAGAATATAATTAATGTGTATAAATACGTGCTGGTATTCAGTGGATACTTTGGAAAACTTCTCTTAAAACACATCAAAACTGACTTAATTGTGAGATAGCCAG